CAATTTTTTCGCCAATCTACCGATTTTTCGCACTTGTCCCAATTCCTTTCTTTTCTTCAAATAAGACGAAATAGTCATTTTGACGGAAAAAAATGACCACACAATTTTTCTCGCCTTTTTCACTTACAAAATTCTTTGCAGTTCGGTGGTACGATTACAGAAGCTTGACTAATTGCGAGAGCTCGCTGAGTTGCCTCAGAAGAGCGGTGGTATTTTACTTACATTACTGAGGGAAGGTCACTTACACAAATAGTTGTTACGTTGTAGCTGATTATCCTCAACTGGAGTGAAAATACAAAACAAAACAGTCAAGGTACCCCATGAGTTTTTGATCATTTGGCAAAAGGGCACGTTTCCTCTCCAATCGCTATATATCAAAGGATTATGTAGTTATGAGGTTGGATAACGGCCCACATGAGTCACAGCAAGTAAAATGACGCAGTCAGTCATCGCAAATGCGCTACTGAAAACAAGGTTGGCGTCGCGTTCCTGATCCTTTGAATTGGAAAAAAGTTCGGATTTGAATGCAAAATTTATGAGATCGGGCGAGCTGGCGATTGTAGCAACAAATAGAAAACAAAAATTCAGCAATATTATAGTAATCAACGATTGCTCCCAAATACAATAGGATTTCCTGTCTAACAAGAGGATGGTCAGAAATCGAAGTGGCCTGTCGAAACAAGCTGCATACCATTAAATGCAGCATAAAAGCTGACTTCGTTTGGATTCCACATCTGCTTAGCGCCTATGCGGGCGAAGTTATGGGCTGTTAAAGTATCTTATTTTGTCAAGCAAACGTGCATGCGCAAAACTGGCTGTACAAAGCTATATTCGGCTCAATGCTGCCCAAAACATGCAGCTAGGTTACTTTATTATTTTAAAGCCTGAAGAAAGCTAAAAGTGCAACGATATGCTCGGTTTCGCAATTTTTATGTACAATTTTCTCCCAATAAAACTGCTCAGAACTTTTACAAAGGCGCCAAGCACATACCAAATGAAAAAAAAGGTTGCCGGCAACTGAGCAAAGGTTGCCAGCGACTAAACTCGCGAAGTTGCCGGCAGCTCCTCCTGCTCTTCCAGATATTTTCCTATAGGAAAATTTTTGTAACCGCAAATTTCGATGGAGGTTTCTATAAAGTCGAGGTGACATCTTCATTGAGAAAATTTTTTGGAAAAAGGCCTGAGACGGCCTAAATTTGGGGTTTCAATTTTTGGTCACCTCATGGAAAGGTGCAAGCGACCTGCAGACGAGACCTACCGCCAGGTTGGGCGGTTTACTACCGGTCTTGATTTCCTGGTTGGATGCGTTTTTTGAGCCAGTAAAAAACGCTCGTAACCCATAATCCAGAGGCACCATGGGTGGTATTTGTAAATCCTCTACTCGGTTTTCGGGCCATTATCAACGAGTCGCGGACAGGCGAAAGCGCCAATCCCGTGATTCATCAACTTTCAGGATGTAATCCGATCTGGCTTTGGCCAGGTCGGGCACGGCAGTAAAGCAAAAAAGCCCGATCACGACAGGTCGGGCACCGCTGCCCGACTCCGTGCCCGACATGTCCGAACTTGTCAGATCGAACCATATTTTCCAGTATACAGGAGTCCGATCACCAGATTGGCCTCGTGTATCGCGGGCGCATGCTTACGTCTGTGGGCTGTTAGTTACCTGTACAGGGACCCCTTCACATATAAGAGATGCTAAATGCCGCCTCAGATACCAAACACAACTCCGGTTCAGTATGGCTTATCAAACAATATAGTTTTCATTCAAAAGAGCCAATCGAACGAGAATCTTTTTTGTAAGACATGCCATAGGAAAGACCTATTGAAGATTGAAAAGGGCAGTTAGCCATCCCTCATGGCTCTGCTTTCGTCGGCTTTAAAAACACCTATTTGTCAAAATTCTTTGAATTTGGCCAGTAGTAAACCCCTGCCGTTGCAGTTTGTTGGGAGTGGGCCTAACTTGAATCCCGGCGCCTAAGCGCCGTACCAGTCGTGCTATCGATCACGAGACGGACCTCTTCGTAGACATGATGAAAGGTGAATTCTTAAAGATGTACTTATAAGTTCTGGTCTGGGTGAGTGGTAGATTACTGCATCTGCAGCAGAAACGCAATAGTGCGAGAGTGCGTATGACGCCACTTTTCTGCATTGATGAGCAATCTTTGATAGCGGTGAACCTTCGAAAATCAAGGTGGCCGCTGTTACAAAGGTGGCCCAGTAAATGAAGAGATAGAACAGTATTATATATTTGACCTTTTTTCGAATTAGAATTAACCCAATAGACAGCAATTAAAAAGGTTCTTTCTCAAGCATTTGAAATTGAGAAGCTCTGAATAAGGAAAAAACCCACTTTTCTACAGTGCTGGACATAATTATAGGGACACTCTAGAAATCGTCGTAATTTTCATTCTTGTCAGTGATTGTCTGAAACTTTGCTGTATGGTGCGCATGTAAGCCTACCATAACTCCTCAAAACGGCTTCCAATCCTGTTGATTTCGAAATGGAACAATTCGAAAAAGCTTGTTTTGCCGGCTGTTTATTTATAAGGACACCTGGCCTTTTTAAGCATTATCGCATTCCTTGACTCCCAAATTTTTTTGTAGAGTTACATCCCAGAATATGAAACTTTTGCAGCACGTAGGACCTGTCATGCTACTCAAGGAAAGATGATCCTTGCATTTTTCGTTTCCAAAGGCATCAGAAGTCAAACTGCTTCAGTAAACAACTGGTTTAGAGAGTTTTCAAGCCCTTGTTCATTTCAAATGATAATCATAGAGTCTACTGATCCTTCTGGATAGATGAGGTGAAAAGCGCTTTCGTAAACTCTGCGTAATCGCTGATTTTGACGGACAAACTTCAACCTCACCATAGGGTTGTCGTGCTTTTGCACCACAAAACTCGATTTTCAAGTTACAGAAAACGCTGCGATGTAGCCGCAACAATGCACGTACAACAATAAACTTGTGTGCCTAGTCAGGAAAAAATTTCGGGGTTGCACATTCTGGTTCAGCCGCAGTTGTCATCCGTTGAGAGTTGAGTCGAGACCCTGCACAATCATATCCAACTCAAATCAAGAAATCGAACAGGAGACCGCTTGAAACTTCAAAATCTTGCTAATCTCAGCTACCGCGCAAAATGCGACATGAAACAGAGAATAAAATAGTGAGATTTGTGATTATGTTGAATCTACTGCTCGCATAGAATTTTCGTTGGCAGTATTTCAGATCTAAATGGCAACTGCAGCACTAGAAAAAATCTAAAAGTTGTTGCGGAAGATGCATCTCCACGTAGACAATGTAATGAATCGAGTCCATCACTTCACGACCATTGGAATGTGAGTTTTGTGGTGCAAAAGCGCGACAACCCTATGGTGAGGTTGAAGTCTGTCCGTCAAAATCAGCGATTACGCAGAGTTTACGAAAGCGCTTTTCACCTCATTTATCCAGAAGGATCAGTAGACTCTATGATTATCATTTGAAATGAACAAGAGCTTGAAAACTCTTCAAACCAGTTGTTTACTGAAGCAGTTTGACTTCTGATGCCTTTGGAAACGAAAAATGCAAGGATCATCTTTACTTGAGTAGCATGACAGGTCCTAGGTGCTGCAAAAGTTTCATATTCTGGGATGTAACTCTACAAAAAAATTTGGGAGTTAAGGAATGCGATAATGCTTAAAAAGGCCAGATGTCCTTATAATTATGTCCAGCCTGCAAAACAAGCTTTTTCGAATTTTTCCATTTTTCTCCGTTCAAAATCAACGGGATTGGAAGCCGTTCTGAGGAGTTATGGTAGGCTTACATGCGCACCATACAGCAATGTTTCAGACAGTTCACTGACAAGAATGAAGATTACGACGATTTCTAGAGTGTCCCTATAATTATGTCCAGCACTGTATCTACTAGTTTCCTAGCCGCAATCGGCTGTTCATCATTCAATTTTGTTTGATGTACCCAAAGCTGTAAGTTTTGCGTGTTTTTGCTAGCGAAAGAACCTGGGGTTATATGTCTCGCAAGTCACTCACGAGCAACCTGCGGAATTCTTGACGTCTCCACTTTTGCGAGCTATTTCCGTCAGTTCAACTTACCTTAATTCCAATTTAACATCAGCACGTTGAACTGACCGTGGTACTTGACGGAACGGTCGGCTGTTCCATTCCCATTTAAAAGCCTGGACAATTATTTATTTTATTACGAACCTCTATTAGTATGAGAGCTTTGAGATAAAATAGGCACTTTCGATAGATGTGTTGTAAAGGCTCAAAAAATCGCCATGCATTGGTTGCAGCTTTCAGTCCATTTCAAGCTCTATTCTCAAATCCATGGAGGTATTTTTGAGACAAGCAAATCTTGCGAATGCACGACGAACAAGTTTGATTGTGTTGTTTTAATTGAGTGATATTACACTTTACGTAATATGAATTATATTACGTAGAGTATCTATTTCAATCACGTATTGTTATGAGTTCTGCAAGCTTTCCCTTGCTTTTCAGCTCCGAAGCTTTGAGATGATTTTATAAAGGTTTTAAAGATATATTATTAAACACACAATCTGATACCTCATCACAGAACTTTTTGGAATATAAAAACTAAAGAGCTTGCCAATTCAGTGACAAAGTGGGTTAAGGTAGGGAGCTGCAATGCTTGCACAAAAATTTAGTGGTGGACAAACATCCAGAAAGCTCAAAGTTATTCTAAAGCCTTTCCACAATTTTGATAAACGCTCAATATTTTACAAGAGTGATATCAGTGACCTGAAAGTAGGCTGTTTCATGATTTCTTGTATTTTTTGATTTTCGGAGTTGTAAGCACTTGAGATGGATAACTAAAGGAAATTTTTACTTTGCAATAAGAAAATGTTTTTATGGCAGTGTAATCAATTTTCCTCAACATGAGCGCTATATCATGTTTCAAATTTTGATGTCTGAAGCAATGAAGAGCTGAAATGCGCCAATTTCAATCAATGTCAAGTATTCTTTATTAGGTCTAAATTATTCTTTCAGCAACCACCTTTCGTACAATTGAGCGGTGATCCCGAAAAGCCTTATGAAGGGTTCTGCATAGATCTTATTGACATGATTTGTGAGGAGGTTGTTGATTTTCAACAAGTTTTGCACAGAATGATTCCAAATTTTCAGCTTAATTTTACATATACCATATATGAGGTGGAGGATGGCTTGTTTGGTGCAATTGACCAAAGTGGTAATTGGAATGGCCTTATTGCTGCCTTGGGTTAGTTCACAAAGGTTTCAATGCGCATCAAGAGTATTCTAAGATATGATAAGAGCTAAAGAAGTAGATATGATACGTCGCACCATGTGTATGCTTGATATATCACGGCAAATCCGAGATATCTCTAGAAAGGAGAGGGTTTTCGTTTCGTAGGAATAACTTTCGTAATTTTTTGTTGATCTTATCTTTTCTCCAAAGTCTCACTTTTCTACAATCAAGCGCAAATAATTAAGTTTCGGGATCAGCAGACATTGCCTTGGCCTCTCTGAGCGCGACTCCTGAACGCGAGCTTGCTGTGGATTTTACGCTGCCTTACTACAGACCCGTCGGTACAGCAATTTTGATGAAAAAGCAGGATGTACGCTACTCGATGTTCGAATTCACAGAGGTATGCTTCGGTCTTAGTCTCTCAGTCTTCTAGATCTTCTTTCTTATCAACAACTGTTAAGGTATTGGAGTGGCAAGTGTGGCTCTCTATAGCAGCTGCATATCTTCTGGCAAGCATCACATTGCGGCTGTTTGACAAATTTAGTCCATATTCGAATACCAATAAAAAAGAGAAGAAGATGCAGTAAGATTTCCTCTAGACATTGGCTTCGTGTGAGGTGTGGCAACTGCCAGAAGATACGAAAATCTGAAAGAAGGAAATTTGAGTTCTTTAGTACTCTTCAGAAATCTGCCTTTCTTAAACGGCATTTGATAGATTAAAGCAGGTTCTACAAGAATAAGCTCTTACATTAGGTGGTTCAAAAGTCTTGTCAGTGCTTGAAATGATCGACAAATAACATACAGTAAAGATAAACAAACAGTTTCCATCGATTCCGATGCAGAGTTCCTTCCTCTTTTCATTTGCCGTATCAGCAGTGTAATCAAATGAGATAATGCTAAGATAATCCGGACAACACAGTTCTTCGTTTTCATCATGTCTGACTTTCAGACTTCCCCTAATTTTCAAAACTTCCATCTGAAACTTTGAGAGAACGTTAATAGCCAGGAAATAGGGCAGGAGTTTTGGTTGGGGTAGTTTCCATAAAGGAGAATCACTTCCGTCACTTACGTTTCTGAGCAGGGAAACAAATAATTAAATAAATAAATTGCGGCTTCCTTTGGTCGACCTTTCGTTTTTGAGGGCTTTTTACGTTTAGGGTTCAGCGTCGAAGAGAACTTTGTGAAGTTTTGCGAAAATCAAGAGAGATTTCCTTTTTCGCATTTTCTGAAAGCCACCTCGTGCCGAGCCTTGGACCCTGATTACAGCTCGCTTTATCAATTTCGTGAGATACGGGCAGACAAACAGACTTAGCTTATTATAGGCTTAGCACTTATTATAAGTGATATTAAATCATACTTGTCGTTTATTGAGACATATCTTCGCATTTCACTTCCACATAAAAAATGTCCTTTCTAACACTACTTCTTTTGACGATCAAAACTTTTTGTGAGCAAAAAACGCCGCCTTACTTCCGCGTCGAGATTTGCATTCCAAAACACTTTCAGTACCCTAACACAAGCTTTACTCATTATAACTTTTGCATTCAATGTCTTCAGCTAATCTATCATCAATAGCTTGAGAGAAATTGAAGTAGGCTTTTGACACATAATCTCTAGGACGTGGGACAATGAAACCCTAATGCTCTCCCTTAGACAAGTTTCAGGCTCGCTCTTTTAGCTTTGTGCCTTATCAGTAGCTACTCTTGAGAATCCCACTGATTTACTTTGTATGCGAGATTTTTCTTTCTTGACAAAATCACCTCGCAAAGTCCCTTGAAGACGTTTTAATATTTTTTGTATGATTGCAGGTATCTGCGAAAATAAACACAAGAATTTCACCGTCTTATGAACACTGTCAGTTTCTTTCTGAACGGTACGCTAGAGAAAATAAAGAAAAAGGAGAGCTGGTTGTTGGCGTGCCACACCTCGCTTGATTATGTAGGTCATCAATATAGTTTGCAGGTCCTCTATTGATATGGGCAATCGTGTGTTTACCTTGAAGGAATGTTTGTGGTTTTGCATGACGTCCTTGACTTCCCAGGGTAAAGAAACATTGATCCTTGCATTCGGATGTCCTTTACTTTGTAAATCGATTCGAGGTATCTAAGCAAATAGCGTGAATTCATTGAAATTGACTATAAGAGTAAACGAAATGTAACAAGAGGGTGCTCTTAAAAGTTCAGTGTGGAAAGTCTCTGAAAAGCAAGCATTTTTAGCCACAATCCAAAATGCGAGTTCCAGTAAATATGAAAGTTTAGATGGTTGAAGAGGACCTCTGTAGAAATCATGGTGACTCTGAGTGAATACCTTACGAAAGCAACACGTGCGCCGTTGTAACACACCCTAAACCTTCACTGAGAGGTATACAATAGAAAGCTGATAAATGGCGAGAAGAGTCAATTTTCTGGAGCGACTGCATGAACGCTATGAAATATGTGTATGACAGCATAAGTCAGTTTTATCTTGTGCCAATGGTTTCATTTCTTGCTAGTATAAGTCCCAAAAGGGAAGCTCAAGAGAATTACAATCATGCTACATATTTCATCCCTTACATCACTCACTGAATGCGAGTTTTTAAGACGAACTGTAAGAGGCTTCACTCGTAAATCTGCTAGATGCTCATTGCAAAAAGCAAATATTTGATAGCTTCTTCACGACACAAATTCATATTCTGGGAATGCCTTGCGGAACACCAGATTATTGTGTTGTTTGAAGTCAATGCCAACTCATTCTTACAACACCGCTCACATTTTTTGCAAAATGTGAGCGGTATTGTAAGAATGTACATATACAGTCTGCACCCCAGAGAGGTTCCCATGTGAACCAGCGTGCGTACGTGGTGCGACGCTGCCTTTCGCTCTTTTTGACACGTTTCACCTGAGATTTCAACGGTAGTGCCCGAGGTTAACACGTTCAAAAGTGCGAAAGGCAGCGAGATGACGTGGTACCCATGGGAACCTCTCTGGGACGCAGACGATACATGTCGCTACATACATACATGTAGCGACATGTCGCAAGAGTGATGCTCATGTCGCTACATGTATCGACATCACCGTCGCGTGGCCATATCTCGCTTTAGAGTGGACAAATTCTGAATCCAAAGCCACCATTCGATTCAGCTCGGCGCGGAGAATCTTCTAATACATTGGAAGTGGGGGTACGATGTTTTCGATTTTCAGTTTCCAGTTTTTTTTTAAATTCTTTTGCGGAGGTCCATTCGCGAATATGTGGCAGCGCCTATCCAACATAGAAGACTTTACTAATTGTAAGTACTATTCGATAACATTGTTTTTGTAGATTATTATGCGCTAAAAAATAGGCTCGGACTTCTTTCCAAAGGAGATAGAAGCGTTGGTGAATTCTGGAAAAATCACGCGTTTTTAAATTCTACTCGCCATAACTTCCTTCCGAATATTTATATTTTGAATCCAAAAATAGCGCCTTGCTCAGCTCATCAAGGCGAATTTTTTATTTACAGCGTGTCCTTGATATTTCGATTTCAGTATTCTTGAATCTTTCTGATGTTTTCGCGAAGGTGTAAAGCAGCGAGCACTGTCCCGAGTAAATTCGAGCAAGGATCTTTCGATAGTACTTTTTCTGTAGATTATGATGAGCTAAATAGTAGCCGCAGATTTCTTTTCAAAGGAAATAGAACGACTGGTGAATTATGGAAAATCTTGTCATCCCAAACTCTACTCGCCATAGCCCCAGGATACGAAGCTATCTTGCTAAGTAGATGTGAGTTTCGAAATCAGCAGGTCAGATAACTTCTACGAGCAAGTTTTTCGATATGTTCGGGTTATTTCATTTTTTTCTCGTTTTACGCGCTGGAAACTCGCCGATGGATTTTGGTCAAAATGTTTATGCTTTTAAATTGTAAGGAACTTTCGCTTATAGAGGTTTTTGAACACTCTACGAAAATCGTAGTCTTTGAGGATAACAGGGTCTTTTTGGAGAGACGGTGAGATGACTGTAACTGCACACGAAAGTGCGTAATTTTGCCCACAATTCTCGAGTATCTGTCAGAAAACTTGCCCGCTTGCTTTTGTAAGTCAAGTTACTAACTGTGCCATCGAATGGTGCATGACTTAGGCTCCAGTCTGTAAAGTTCGCCGAGTTACGAGCCTACGAAAACACGTCGTCATGAATTTTGCTCAAAATGTAAAGATCGCAAATTTCGTCGAAATTCCACCGTGAGCGCTTGTACGACGCTCGTTGCGGATATTATGTTCGTTTCGCCCAACGGCTCCCACTCTATTGAATATGGTGCTTGCGAGTGCTTCAGCTGATCAATTAAATATCAAAGCTATTTCGTGGCTAGAACTCAAAGCACCAAATCTAACACAATAAGATCCATTAGAAATGTGAAGAGATTTGATCAGCGTGTTGTACAAGCACTCACGGTGGAATTTGACGAAGTATGCGATCTTTACATTTTGGGCAAAATTCATGACGACGTGTTTTCGTAGGCTCGTAACTCGGCGAATTTTACAGACTGGAGCCTGAGTCATGCACCATTCGATAGCACACTTCCCAGTAACTTTCACTTAGAAAAGCAAGTAGGCAAGTTTTCTGACAGATACGCGAGAAGTGCAGGCAAAGTTACAAGCTTTTGTGACTCCGTTACAGTTACCTCACCATACCTCTGCAAAAAAAGCCCTGTACTTGACAGAGAACACGATTTTCATAAACAGCATGTTCGAAAACCTGTGTGAGCGGAGTTTCCTTCCAAACCAAGACCATAAACATTTCGACCAAAACCCACTGGCGAGTTGAGAGCGTGAAACGAGAAATAATGAAATAACCCGAACATATCGGAAAACTTGCTCGTAGATGTTATCCGACCTGCTGATTTCGAAAATCACATCTGCTTAGCAAGATAGCTTCGTATCCTGGGGCTATGACGAGTAGAATTTGGGACGACAAGATTTTTCCGTAATTCACCAGTCGTTCTATTTCCTTTAAAAAAACTGCGGCTACTATTTAGCACATCATGATCTACAGAAAAAGTACCATCGAAAGATCCTTGCTGGAATTTACTAGAAACAATGCTCGCTGCTTTACACCTTCGCGAAAAGACGTCAGCAGAAAGACTCAAGAATACTGAAATCGAAATATCAAGGACACGATGTAAATAAAAAGATTCGCCTTGATGAGCTGAGCAAGGCGCTGTTTTCGGATTCCAAATATACTTATTCGGAAGGAAGTTATGGCGAGTAAAACTCAAAAACGCGTAATTTTTCCAGAATTCACCAACGCTTCTATCTCCTTTGGAAAGAAGTCCGAGACTATTTTTAGCGCATAATCTATATATATATAAAACTCAATGTCTGTGAGGATGTTCGTTTAGTTGTTCGTTCGTTATAGAAACGCCAGCCATTGAACCGATTGAGCTGAAACTTCGCACACATATGTTTTCGGCCCCGGCGGTGGTTTATGGCTACTTTTTGAGGCGATTCGCAGGGTCCTTCTATTGATTTATTGATTTGTTTACTTGAATCTGGGAAAATGAAAGCTAGACGTGCTCCAACCAATCATTTTCCAATAAACATGTAAGTAGGGGTAGTAATGTTCATTCTGATCTCAAGGTCGACAAGATGCAGAGGGTTCGTCACAAACCGCTTTTTGCGCGTTGTAAAGTCAGAAAGTGTAAGTATGATCAGCTTCCAGATTCGTGTGGAGGCGGGTGCGGACTTTACTGGTTTTAAGGAAAGCTCAAGGACAAAGTACGAAATACAGTGCTAAAACGTGGAGGTTTAACAAGTTTGTTCTGAAAATCAAGGAAGTGCGCAACCCTCCTCTACACGAATCTGAGGGCCCATGACATTTTGGTGGGTAGGGAACGAACTCCTCAGTTTGAGACAACTGGTCCTTTTGAAATATTGTTCTTTGTGGTTGCAGGACCAGTAGTCCGCGAAGATGTTTCAAACCGGCGGATTTCGTTCCTCTACCCCATCTTGGTTGAAGTAAAAGCCTCGGGCGAGACCGGGTCATCAGCTAGTAATCTATAAGAACAGTGTCATCGAATAGTACTTACAAGGTGAGGATACTTAGTTGAAAGCACCGATCCAATGAGACATACATCATCGTGACCTGCTCGGAGCGCTGATTTCAAATCTGTCCTCCTTTTCTGCGGAGCGCCTCTGGGTGGGAAGCATTACCGTTTCAAGACCCGAAATGGGTAAAGGAAATAAAATTGATTGTTAGACATGTATATTTCGCAGACAGACTCGTTTTAAGAGTGGGTATAGCAGACAGACATTTTTCTTTGCGCAGAGTAATCCGACAGACATCACTTCCCCATTCGAGCCCAACTGGAGACTTCTGCACATAAATTTTTTTCTTCCCTCGACTTCAAATTTTCTCCACAAAAACAACCATGACTCGTTGCCCAAAGGCGCTCCGCAGCTAATTTCCCCGAATTGAAATCAGCGCTCCGAGCACGTCACGATGATATATGTCTCATCTGGATTAATGCTTACGACTAAGTAAGTATCCTCTCCTTGTTAGTAAAGTCTTCTATGTTGGATAGGCGCTGCCACATATTCGCGAATGGACCTCCGCAGAAGAATTTAAAAAAAACTGGAAACTGAATATCGAAGACATCGTACCCCCACTTCCAATGTGCTAGAAGATTCTCCGCACCGAGCTGAATCGAATGGTAACTTTGGATTCAGAATTTGCCCACTTTGAAGCGAGATATGGCTACGCGACGGTGATGTCCATACATGTAGCGACATGTGTGTACATTCGCTTCTATTTTTCAAAGAATGTGAGCGGTTTGGGCCCCGAAACCGGTTGTGTAAAAGCAGCAGTTACTTTTCGGTTATTTTGGAAATCTTAGAATATTCTTTCTTACTGTGGACTCATCTCTTTGTTTGTTTGTATGTTGGTCCAGACTTTAGCACCACAAATTCGTGCGATATTTCACTCAATTTGATACAAAATCAAAAAAAGTGGATTAAAATACCAGAACATGGGGTTAACGCTTCAAAGTGAGATAGCTAGGAGAGGGAAAAAAAGAGATTTTCTCACGTAGTTTCTACTCTTGTTCTCATTTGACGAAGTGACAACCAAGCTTGTTTAGCTCACTTCTTTGGGAGAGCATTGCGAGCCAAAGTTTACTGTAGGATTTGGTTGCCTCCGAGTTGGTGCACAAAAACCCTGGGTGACTAGTCTATTAAATGGACACTAAGGACCAAGCAGCATCAGGATTTTTAGTTAATTCAATTTCTTGTTACTTCCGATCATGCATTGGCGCAAAAACCATTCACTCCATGTTATAGAAGCAGTGGCTTGACGGTGGACCAGATTATATATGTAGGCTTGGTCCTCTTCCTGTAACTTGTTGTCCTGCAACGGATGCGATCGCAACCGTGACAGTACCTAATAACTCCGTTGCGTGGGTATCATGGTCAAAAGTAAGCCGTCGATTTCGTGGCAAACAATAACATGCGACATTTCGCACGTCAAAAGGTTTTCATTCAAATTTCGAGATTTCATCCGATACCACTTTTAGACATTTCTTGAACGTCTTGACTTTTGATTGGATCTCTTGCTTGTAATTCAGCAGTGCCAGTGTGTGTAGTCTGGAGCCACTAACTCAGACAATCAAAGGCCATGGTGAGGTGGCGATAAATAACAGTTTTAATGAGCGCGGCGATACTGCGAAAGTGGCAGTGAGCGGCGACGATACTGCAAAAATGGCGGTGAGCGGGCAGCGAAGGGCTAACAGCGGGCAGCCATAATCTTTATGAGTCAGAAAATAGCTGCAGAGTGCAATCATTGCTACAGAAGCAGCCAGAAGGCGGCGACAAGGCAGCGACTCCGTTGAGCTGGCAGGGACCGGGAAACGATGGGGATGCGAAGCAGGATTTCTGTGAGCAGGCCGCATAAATGCTACGAGAAGGCAGCATTTATTCGTAACGCTGTATTGTGGCTGCCAACTGGAAGCCATATCGCTGCCCTCTCGAGACCCTGTTGATCGCACTAGAAAAGTTACATGTGCAGGCAAGCGAGATTGGCAATTTAATCTTACTTCATTTTTGGTTTCATTGTTGCCTCATCTTTGTTTTTAATATATTACAATGTTACTCGCGCATTACTTTCTTCAATTGTTTTCCTAGGCTGCAGTTGCTCTCTTTTGTTTTGTACTATCTCATTATTACAAAGTATTTCTGTTAATTTTTTCTTTCTTATCCAGCCTTAAACTTTTTCTCGTATCTTCATTGCATATACAATCGCTATGACGATCATGCATCTCTCTTATATTGAAAAGACAATAGGTGGGGTCACATTTCACACCGCAAATGTATGGCACAATGAACTCGGTTACTTGTACAATACCGCTCACAGAATGTGCAAAATTTCCGTGAATGTTGCGAAATTGCGAAAATTCCGCGAAATTCCGGGAATGGCGCGGAATTCCCGGAATTTCGCGGAATTTTCGCAATTTCGCGACATTAACGGAAATTTTGCACATTCTTTGAGCGGTATAGGCCGTCCGCGCTGCGCACGGAGAGCAACGCTGTTGCGTACACTAAAGGCAGTTCACGACTGGAAGAAGCGCAGAGATAACCAGGCGGCGAGAGTGAACGAGGAAAGAGGAGTGAAGCGCAATACACACCTTGCGCACTCTCCGCGCCCTGCGCGGACGGCCTATATTGTATAGTAACATCATAAGTGGGCGGGACATTCAGTTCACAGCTAAAAAGCGAAAAATCGATATTTTGGAGATTAGTGAACCACCAACTCCTCAAAAATGTTGAATCTATATTCTGAAGGTTTCGAAATCCCGAAAATTGACAAAAATCGATATTCCAAAAATCGACAAATTTGATAAAATCATATTTTGAAGGTTGCGAAATCCCAAAATTTACAAAAATAGATATTCTGAGGGTTGTGAAATTTCGAAAATTGACAAAAATCGATATCCCAAAAACCGATAAAATTGATAAAATCGATATTTTAAAGGTTGCGAAATTTCAAAAATTGACAAAAATCGATAAAATCGATATTCTGGAGGTTTCGGAAATCGGTAAAATTAGCGAAAAACTAAGCGAAAAATTCGAAAAACTCTATAATGAGCCCATTTCCAGTACTTTTATACATCTGAAACTTCTCCAAGCAACCTCCGCCCACTTCCACTTCGCATTACGACAAAATCAAAGAAAAATAAGCGAAAATAAGGAAAAATAAGCGAAAATTTTTTTTCAACCCTATTTACCCCTTTTCTAGCCGTTTCCAGCCCCTAATCAGGTCCAGATGGCCGCCGGGTGACTATCATCGCGCTGTAGTAATAAATAGAGGGGGAATATGGGGGGGGGGGGGAGAAAGAAGAGCCTGAACTAAAATAAAACGTCCGGGAAGTCTCATAGATGGGTTCCCACTGAGGGAGCCCCTACAATTTCTCCGAATTACATGTGGTCTGCCTCTCGAATACAAACTGAATAGTACATGACTCATAACTTAATCTAGGATGATGTACGGTGTGAGGAAACCGCTATACAGGATGTGAGTAAGTCGCTTACAAAGGATTTTTAGAAAGCATATGGAAACACAATGAAAGGCAACAGATTGACTTCATATGATTAGCTAGTGATTGTTTGTCCTCGCATGTAGACGATGTAACAAAGCATTAAATCTCATATATCTGTACGAATCTTAACTTGAAAAAATCAAATCCCTCATAAACCTACTTTTGTCAGCCTTATCGCCTCGCTGTCGCTTCCCGCTGAGAAACGTAGAGGCGAGCGGGCTACAAATATGGCACTGAGCAGGACGCTAAAGCTGGCAGCAGGCGGAATGCTAGTCAAGGTGTTTTTTGGCTAACGCACTAAAATAATTGAAGGAGAAGAAGCTCGAGAGCAGTTCACGGCAGAAATGAAAAGGGGTAATCGAACGCGTTAATAGCAATGCCAGGGTAAAAACTCGAAGTCATGAACTTTCTGCAAAATGGAAAATGGCTGAGGGGTATCCCGTGACGAAAGCTAGGATGAGTAGAAGATGGGAAACTCGAGCGCACCGAGCCTGACATGAAAGAACTGGTTAGCCCTTCTGCATGATACCACGCCAGTGTCTCAAGATTACGTAAACAATTGATTTAAATGCTGTTATAACAAAATTTTTTAGTTTGATTCATATCGGTATAAACAATTTTCCTGCTTACTCAGTAACAGGATTTTCTTCAAGAAAAATTTCGTTGATTGTGCCATTACCGATGTGAGAGGTAGTCCATATCGATTTTGACGTTAGGGAAAGAAACAAAGCATTCCCAGATATGAAGCTCAAGAAAGCTTATCTCTAATGCAAGCTCTATATTTTTGCCGGAAATAAGGCAGTTCCAACGACATTCCTTTGGTCCTTCTAGCTGCTCATCTGCACAAGTAACAACTTTTCAAATGTACTTGCCAGTATAATTTTGTCGCACATGGTAAAGTAAGAATGCATGTTTTTGCTTCGAAGAGCAAGCATTTTTGGAATACATTGAGTGGCTTTGACAAGGGTGGAAACAGAATTCGAGGTTACTTCACATGAGGAAGATAGATAGAAGAATATATGGTGTAAGGCGCTGTGCGCAGATCATTCTGTGAGGCAACCTTTGATGATGTAGTGTATTGCGTTCATTTCAACATATTATATCTCTGAGAGAATGAAGTGGAACATAATGAACATTATGAACATTCTAATGCAACATTTTTAGGGGGAGGAGAAGTTCCAAAGAACATTTCTGGAAGAATTGTGGCTGCTACATGGTGGCTGTTCGGATTCATTATCGTATCTTCGTACTCTGCAAATCTAGGAGCATTCTTGACAGCATCTCGACTTGAGCAATCTATAAAGTTTGTGTCTATTTTTAGATATTTGGCTGGAGCTGCAATTCTAGATAGCCAGAAAAGCAATGCTCCATTGACAACGGCGCGACTCAGTGTCGCGATCTTCTGCAATAGAGGGTCGTTCCGCTCCAGGGATAATCATGCAAATGGCCCTTAGGGTTGGGCCAGACTTCGCTAAGAAAACGGCGTACGCGGCGTACGCTGCGTACGCCGCTTTCCCAGTCTGGCCTAACCTTTAGTGTTATACTATAGAATTATGCATAGAATAAGTGCGAGGCGGCAACGTTAATTCTCTTTCTTTGGTTTAAACTAAACAAAATTTGCTCTTCATGTTTATGGCAGCATGGTGCACCCGTCAACCGAACTGACGCTTACCGCGAGAGGGCTGCTGTTCCAGTAGTCAGACCACCTTCTTCCCTGTCGCGGGCGTTTGTTGACTAGTGTCTAGGTATCGCAAAAGAAAACAAGGAACATTTTGATTATTTTGAGCCTTTGTAACCCTCTATTCCGTTCGATTCCATGCAAACGTAGTCTTCATTGGGCTCAATGGCATGCAAATACTTTCATACATTTTGTGGCAAGCGTTCTCCAAGGGTAACCCCTTTGAACGTAGCGGCATCATATCACCTACACGTCCACAATGATGTATTCATAAAATATTACGGTGTTGGCGAATCTGCTGTTTAGCTCACAAATGATGTTAGGATTATGCTAAATAATGATATGGGTATGCTCGATTGCGCTGCCAATTCGGGTACGTTTTATGAGAGGAAAATATGAGCATTTAGTAACTTATTTTCAAGGTTTTCTTAACTTCAAGGCACGAAAAACTTTGTTGTGACATCAAACGACATACATGTTTTGATGGTTTGATATTACTTGTCTTGAAAGGTTTATGTTTGAGAAGGTTCTGATGTAGCAATTTTCCAAATGTAATCTAAACACGCATCGATTTTTGTCTTCTTGATTTACATTAAATACACGAATGGCAAAAGCGTAGCACATCTAGGACGCTCGAAGACCTAGCAGGACAGTACAAGGTTAAGTACGCACCAATTGAAGGGTCCTCAGAGGAAGCATATTTTAGGAACATGGCAGAGCTTGAAGAACGATTTTACACGTAAGTTGCTCGCTTCCCTAATTCTTTCAACTCTTATTTGCAGCATATGGCGAAACATGGCAATGAATGAAAGCATGTCGCAACAGGGTCGCACTCCATTACCGATTTGGGACTATCCAGTTCAAGACAAGTATACTAAGATGTGGAGGTATACATCTAGAGGACTCCAAATAGAAATGATGTTTGTACAGGTTTATGCAAGAAACCGAGTTTCCCAGTAATATGGACGAAGCTGTTGATCGTGTCCTCACCTCTGAAGAAGGATTCGCTTATTTGGGCATGTTATCATAATTTGCTGAACAATGAAAAATTGATCCTGTATTGGAATTAAGGTGATGCCAATGAAATAAGATACTCATTACTCACAAACTGTCAGCTGCAACAAGTTGGTACAGAGTTTGCTCGCAGTTCTTATGCCATTGCTGTGCAATCTGGACATGGTCTCAAGGATCAAATTAACAACGCGTAAATATCTTTATTTTTTCCTGAAACTGTCCCTCAGAATGCTCTAGTAATTTCAGTATTAGAATGCTGACAGGTAATGGACGCCTTCATCTTCTCGAGGAAAAGTGGTGGTACAAAAATTCAAACAAGGTGAAAGCTTGCCTTTATCATGTTTTCTTTACAAAGCAACATTTGCGAATACCTCGCCTAGGCTACATACGGAAATCTTTGCTTTAAAACCGATAAGCCCCAAATTTTATACGCATACATCTTGTGCACCAGCAAGTGTCATGGACTACGTCTCGCAACATTCATCTTCTAGATGCCTATAATAAATTGTTGATTTTTTTCATATTGTGAACAAATTTAGATTTCTATCAAACCAGCGAGAGGTCGTTCTGAGGCAAGTCTTCTTGTTGACACGGCTGAGTATCATATGCGGGAGGAAGGAGTAAGAAGAAGTGTGTAGAAAAAGGGGTGTATGTCGAAAGGCGCGCGTTCCCTAAGCCTTCATTGCCAGAATGGGTTGGATGATTGCAAAAACAAGGTTTCCAGATTGCGAGATTTTTGTAGGTACATCAGAAAGTATAAAAAAGAATAACCATTGAAATCCGATAGTATTGAAATAAATTTGAACTTATTTCTTGCTTTTCCCAGTTGGTAAAAACCGATCAATGCGCGCCTTACGACCGTCTCCCGTAGAAAAAGATCGAAGTAAGAGTGGGCAAAAACGAAAGGAAGTCTTTTTTGTTGAATGCGAAAACTTTTTACCCTATTGGGAACAAATACATATAACAAAATTGTGCAATACCCCCTTCCTCCCACCACTCCGCTATGCTCTCAAGAATCGATACCCTGTTTAAAAATTGAATGAAATGTGAGACTGTTAAAAATTCTCTTAGCCACTAATTCCGAAGAAAATAAAATCTACAAAATAAGCAAATCGAAAAGCCTGCTTTTGACTAAATTATAAAAGCATAAGAAGATGGAACTCGTTTGCAGATTGTTTCAGAATGATGTAACTACTTTAATAGCGCTACGCTTACATGATCCTGGAAATGCTTTCAAGTTACTTTCAAAAGAAATAAGTAGTATGACGACTGAAATGAAAGCGTTTTCCCACCTTTTTTTAGTATTTTAGTATATTTCAGGCAAAAATTCGCAGAAACTTGTTCCTAGACTTGCTGTCACTACTTATATCTCGGGTAGCGCATTGAGCTATGTTTACCCTTTGGAAACATTGCTGTTAAAATATGATGGCCATTGTCGCATGAATTTTCGTTGTTAAACAGTTGTTGTCTTACGGTACGCTACAACAGTGTGGCAGCAAACGGTTCGATGTATTTCCATAACTCAATATTGACTTGCAAAGACCCATCGTAAGTCCGCTTGGCCTTTTGTTGGTCTCCCTTTAGCTTGATTTTAGAAAATTGGTGTTGCTTTTTGTGAACAAAAGAACCAACAAGCTGCTAGTGAAAACTAAATACAGCAGCAAAATTCTCCTAACAAAAAGATAAAGTCCCTCATGTTTTGCTCTGTTGCGGTATGGTTATTTGTTTTGAAGACCTTACATACGTGCCAAGTCGAAAATGGAAGTTTCTTTCTTTACAACCTATCCGCGGGCTACAGTAAATTCTTTCATAGTTCAATTTTTGCGAGATATACAGGGTGTCCCAAAAAATGTATCTAACGTTTGATCGTTAATATCTCTCTTCTAAAGAAGTCTTTTCTCTTGCTTCAGGTACCAATCCGTAGAGCTGGCTTCAACTTAGATTTGCATTATAGAACGAATCACTCATTTCTCTTCATTACTGTAGGATTACGGTAGAAACTTCGAAGAGGGTTTTAAGCAATGAAATAGGTTATTTTTTTTTTACATTTTTAAAGCAATATTTTGCCTTAAAAAGGAAACAAAACAGCCTGAAAGCTTTTACACTAGGCTAATTAGAGTTGCTGATTATAACTGTAAAGTTCCCAACTTATTATGCTGCTTCATTGAAGAGTTATGCCAGGTAAGAGGTAGCGGCCATTTTTTCAATATTCCTAAAAAGTGCGATTACACCGTTTAGAAAGCTTCGTAATCTTGTGAATAGTTGAGTATTGAACTTAGCGTCCATAAAACCCTATTACACAAGTTTTCACAATTTTTTGGAAAATTTTGAAACGGCAGCTTTTTCCACATTGACACCATATGTTTCAAGTTTCTACCGTAATCCTACAGTAATGAAGAGGTATGGGTGATTCGTTCTATAATGCAAATCTAAGTTGAAGCCAGCTCTACAAAACGGCACTTGAAGCAAGGCAAAAGACTTCTTGGGAAGAGAGATATTAACGATCAAACGTTCGATACATTTTTTGGGACACCCTGTATTATTAATTCCGTGAAATCTAGGTTTCATCTGATGCGATGAGATACACACAATGACGCGAGGTAAAAATCACAAAGTTACCTAAAGCTTGAGTACAGACTTACATAGTTGATTCAGCTAATATGTTAGTTCTTTCAATAGTGTAAGCACTTTTAGAGCATTTTATACTTTGGTTAGCTTGATATCATGAATGACTCCTGAGGCTTGTTAAGGTTGTTTGCCCTGAAACTAGCTTGGAAAATGGGATGGCCATCCAGAATGTTGGAGGAGTCTTCATTATTATTTTACTAGCTATTACTTTATCGGCAATCGCTTTCACAATTGAGTATACCTACTACAGGTCGCCTTCTTCGTCCAGACCTTTTTCCTCAAAAAACGTCGTTTTTAGGAGAAGCAATGTAATCATCGCAGAACATTACTAGGATGTTGATGGAAAGAAGAAGAGTAATGGGAATAGCGTATCACCACATGTCCTCTGCAAAAACAGTCGCCATACCGCATCCTATCATTTGATGGTGCAGTGCGACACTGAGTAACGTGACGCGTGACGTGCAACTAGAAGAGTGTGTGCATAAAAGTAACTAAAAAACATGCGCATAATTGTACTATCATTGAAAAATGTGTTTCAATAAGTGGACTATCGGTCTGATCATCAGTTTGAATTTGCAATGAAAATAAGTCACTAATCCCTTCTTCATTGTTGCGTGATCACGATAAGTACTTCTAACGTTTGTGTGAGAGCACATATGCTCCGAAAACTGTCCGAAAGACCTGAAAACTTGGTACCGGCCTAATAAAGATTACTGACTACAAGGAACATAGGGTGCAAAAACCTCAACATGAATTTATTCAAACGACTTGGAATTTTTCTGAAACGGCAGCAGATTTGCACTAATGACATTTTACTGGAAGTTTCTTCTGTAATCTTATTTTAAAAAGGGATGGTAATTCGTTTGATACTGTGAACCTAGCTTGAAGCTTGCGCTACACGGTGGTACAAATTTAGCAAAAGCTACGCAGAAAGAGAGTTATCAGAGATGAAACTTTTTATACATTTTTTGGGACAACTTGCATATAGATTACTCTACAAGTCTTTGTAAGGAAACCATATAGTTCTTGTCGCTGTGTGTGACCTAGTCATCGACATATCTCTAGCATAAAAAAGGAAAAAAGACAAAGTGTTAGTGTCTTTAGCCTACATTGCTTTTTGCAATGTAGAAAACTCTAGCAACTGCCAAGTTTCCAATCGGTTAACAGATGTTCATTGTTAGTTGCGACCTAAAGTTTCGACGTGTTCTCTTCTTCAGAGATCTAAAGTGATAAAAGTTTAGATGTTATACTCTACCCTACCGCAAACCTTCTCCACCCCCTAGCCCCTAGCCTCGGCTTACTCACGAATGTCACAAACGGAGTTACGGAATTACATGAAAGACGAACTAATCTCCGCCATTGCCGCTCAGGTGCTCAGATAATCGCCGGGGAGGCGGTCCGCATACTCGCGCTTTTCTGAGGCGATCAGTAGAATTCTGGGGCGTGGCCAAACCTTCAGCGAGCGGCACTTCCTTTACGGTCGCGTATTCTGCCAGCGGGCATACAGCATTTTCTGCGAGCGCTTGGCAAATAATTTCTTTCGGCGAGCGCTGGCCAAACTTTAAGCAAGCGCTCGGACTCTTTTTACGCAGTTTCGGACGTACGTTGAGAAAAGGTGAGACTCTATGTGGCAGAGGTGCCAACGATGATTTTATTACCCAAGTTTGGGGTGAATACTTTCAGCGGACGGTACCTGGGCAGTGCGATCCTTCACAAAGAACCGTGCGGCCCACTACAGTTTGCATATTCTCGCGGAAAGTCCGCGATAATGCGGCCACTGCGCCGTAACTTATTTTAAAAAACCGCGATAGTTTTTAGCGTTCGTCTAAAATTTGGCCAAAATTGTTCCAGATTTCTGCAAGCGGACCGCAAGAAATCAGCGAGCTGTATTTCCAATGCTCGCTTGCTCAAAATTCGCATGGCTGCCTGCCCCGTCGTTTATCTGACTGGATGTTGAATGCGGCCGTCCTCGAGTGCCACTAGTATACATTACAATTTATACTATCGATACTAATCAGTGGCATTCTTCAACTTCCATAATGCCATAAAAGGCACAAAGTCATTCGTGATTGACGCGCACTCACTTCGGCTGCTCATGCATGGATCTCTTGCAAAAACCAGAATGCTTCGAGAGCTTTTCTACAAGCAGTATCGTACACATATGCCAGCATAGTACATCTATCTTCAAAGTATTTGCCACAATGAAATTTAACCTTATGTTTTACCAAGCGGTGTGGTAAGATTTCCCCGCCTTTTGCTGACAAGATGTCCTTTCATTCTTACTCAAAGTGGTCTCCCAGCCCTCGATATAGGGCGATAGGCGATTCTACATGTGCGTAGTCAACGTGCGAACCCCCTTCGCGTCTTAACAGTCTTACCAAGCGCCCTCCTCCTTCTTGACATGTCTGAACGTGCTGCCAAAGTCAATATAAAAGGGGTACAGCTAGTCCCCGTTGCTTATACGGAGCCTTAAGGAACGGAGTTTTTTGTTTTTATGCGGATCTAAACTTATTTAGAATTTCACAGGATTGGGCGGGCCTCAAAAGGAACGCTCTTTACTTTTGCATCAATTCTATCGAAATGAACTGCTAAATTAGAAAGGCCGGTGAAAATCATTTGCTAGATAATTCAATTCAAAGACTCTAAACCCTCATTAAATACTGATCTTGCACACTTGTGAAAACAGTTCACTGCATTGCAAAGTCTTTCCAGCCAACATACCATGAGGGGAGGGGGCATTACTTCTGAGCGAGCACCATGAGACAAAGCAAAGCAAACATGACCTCTGAACATTTGCGCAAAAAACATATCCTGTATCTCTGTATCTAGAATAGTCCTACGGACCTCCCGACTTAATCTTCACATCAAAAACTCAATTGTGTATCACTGCAGTTTATCTGTGATTGAAATTAGATAGAAAACTCGAAATGCTTTCAACAAATTTGGGCTTTCAGATAAACACCTTTACAGTGTGAATCTTTGGAAATACATTCATGATTTTTTGACTGCTGCAAACTGTAACACGAAAAACATCAAATTTAACATGAGAAAACCCAAAATGACGATATTTTCGTTTGTTGACTTGCTTTAGTCTCTCGATTTGTGGTCATGCAACAATTGTAACAGCTGTATATGTATCTGATTTCTTAGATAATTAGAGTACTTAGATAAGCAAGTAGACGGTCAGCGAAACTTTCTAGGCGGAAATTCCACGTACGGGTATTCAAAAAAAATTTTGAATATTTACTTTTAGCTACAAGCGGATCAAACCTTGTGCAGTTACAGACATCTAATAGAACTTGCCTCTTCTATAGTACTAAGAGGTCCGCTGCCGGGGACATATATGATTTTCCGCAAACTAAACGGAACATGTGGGAATATCCTTTAATATAACAAAACTTCGAGACCAACAGCGCGACGGCTAGACTGGTCCGGTTCCATGCAGGTTACAACGTTGTTTTTGGATAGCTGCCAATCCAGAGATTGCCCTACAATTTTGAGATGAGTGGCGGTATAAGGTTGATGACAAAACCTTAGAGTCCGTAGTATTAGCTGGTGATGTCGACTGCACTTGGCGTACGTTAAAACTAGGTATATGTCCCTACTGTCCTTGCGCATGTCCCTGCTGTCCTTGCCAACTCGACGTACTCGACATTAGTTGGTTGCTCCTTCCTGCTCTCCACGCTGGAGGCACTATTTTTCTTAGTCTGCCCGCAAGTGACGGGTTCATGACGTGCTCGTCCTATGCGCACGAGCTCGAGCACGTCCTACAGTCACACGTTTTTCGATTTTACAAGCGGCCTTGATAAGAGATAGCCGCCTGGTGAATCGCGGTCAAAACGACACGTACTGGGTACGTGCGATGTTTCGGACGTTGCGACCACCATCAAGGGGGAAAAATACTAGGACCCAGAGCGCGACAAAAGAAAATAGCGACAACTAGGGTATCTTTTGTTGCTGCAGTTGCTTTTTTGAAATATGGAAACGCATGCCGAGTGTGTTGGATTGTGCAAGCATGTGGTGGTAACGAAAGTTGTTATGGCTTGGAGTTTTCTACGATGCACACGTTTCAATTTAAGCAGATTGTTGAATCTACTTTGACGGACTTTAAGAAATGTTCGCAGTTTGCATTATACTTGTACAACTCTTCGATTCCACTGCGGGAGCGACAACCAAGAAGTGGAGATTTAGCAGAAGACTTACAGAACGAATTTGGTCTTAAAATTAGTAAGGGCTGCGCTTTCATGGCTTTTGTGCTAATGCGATCATAGCAGTAGTCTAGCGGGCGCCTGTAGATTAAAAATGAGAATCTGGGTTCCTCATTTCTTACCATTTCCTACCAATTTTTTTCCCTTCATGGACCTTGTCTCCCAAGCTTGTCGCTTTGCGTATCATGTGGGACAGCTTTTTCTTTTCGTCCTGTTCGAGTTTCTTATGCTTCCCTACTTGGTTCACTTGGGTGCGTTTGTACGGACAATCCCTCTCAATATGTCCGTGTCTTCTACATGTGAAGGATCTTCTTCGATCAATGCCTGCTTTCTCCCCTTGTCTTTCAGCATTGCTTTTCTCGTGGGAGAGGCTTCTTATTTGGAACCCTTGCTTCTTTCCTTTCCCCGTTTCCTGTGCTTGCATGTGTTTGGCTCTATCCTGCTTGTTCCGGTAAGTGTCCGCTTCTCTTCTTCCTCCTGGAGTTCTTTACCCCCGCGCTCATAGAACTGATATCTTCTTTTCTAAGTCTCTTGCTTTCAACCTCATGGGTGTCAAAAATCGTTTTTGACTGCTCAATACTTAGAGTAGCTGCTTCAGCGTGCTTTAAGCTTCCTGCGGCTCTACTCTCTGAATCTCGCTTAATAGCTGTGTATGTTCAGGCCATCCCCGCAAGTTGTCCATCAAGAACTGCGTGTACTCGAGAGAAATATTCCCACCACAGCGGCAAGATTGGCTTCCCTACCCAGCCTCTCGAACAACGCAAAAGTCCGCCACGCTTTGGCCCTCTCTACATTTCAACTGTCTAATTGTAAGAAGGAGTGCATGTTTAGTCGAAATGACCTTTCTAGATGGGATGTATACAATACTAAAGGACATAAAATGCTGATTCCAAATCTGCTTTCCTTAACTGCAGAACGTTTATAGACAAGGAGTTATGAGCGCTTATTGGAGTAAAAAATCGAATGTGCAAGTAGAACAGAAATAGCCGTAGTACTCTTTCTAGCTCTTCAATGAAGCAGTGATATTCATCAGAGTACTTTATCAAAAAAATGCTCTAAAATAAAAAATTATACCACACTTGGTTGCATTACTTGAGGGCTAGCAAGATTTTGGCAATTCATTT